TGCCCTCACCTGGGCCGTGTTCTCACCTGGGCCGTGCCCTCATTTGGGCCGTGCCCTCATTTGGACCGTGCCCTCATTTGAGCTGTGCCCTCACCTGGGCCGTGTCCTCACCTGGGCCATGTCCTCACCTGAGCCATGCTCTCATCTGAGCCGTGCCCTCACCTGGGCAGTGCCCTCACCTGGGCCGTGTCCTCACCTGAGCTGTGCCCTCACCTGGGCAGTGCCCTCACCTGAGCTGTGCCCTCACCTGGGCCATGCCTGGTGGGCCGAGCTCATGCCAGAGCTCCAGGACATGCTGCAGGTCCACAGCAGCCAGAGGCAGGTGCAGCTCACCAAGGAGGGTGTGAGAGGAGAAGCGCTTGAAGTCCAGGACCTGCACACACAAGGCGGCCTGAGGCAGCTCAGTTTTCGGGACCTGAGGACACAGGAGCCAGGAGCCAGGGCCACCTGTGAGTCCAGGCCCACCCTACTAACTGGACCCACCTTAATGGTCCAGATCTACTCTGCTGGTCAGGACGTGCCCATCCCTTCCCTAGCCAGCCCCACCTGGAAGCAGCAGGTCTCCTCAAAGTGGGGGCTGAGCGTGCCTCTGTGCACTTTGGTCTCATGGCTGTGCCCGGCCTGGGTGGACACGCTGATGCGGGCATAGGGGTTGGCCAATCCTCCGGGCGCTGGGGCTCTGAGGTCAACTGCCTGCATCAGGCCCACCCTGATCTGGGGACAGCAGTGCAGGCTTGGCAGGTGCATCCCTGTAGGTCCCGATCACCTGTCCAGCATTCCACGGTCCCGCATCTTCCCTCCCCTCCCCTGCTAAGCAGGTGTGCTGCCTTGGTCTGGGCAGCGGGCAGGCCCTCACCTCTTCACTCCCAGAGTCATACTCCAGCGAAAGCAGCAGGCGGCCCCAAGGTGGAAAGCTGCCCGAAGCGCTGTCCAGATCATCTACATCCGGCTGCACCTGGTGGGCAGGACAAGAGGGCCAGTGCTGCTGGCTGCCTGTCGGAGCCCTGGGCATCCCAGGGGCAGACCACACTTGGGCCAAGCCAGCTGCCTTCAGCTACTCCTTGGTCTCACTCACACCACTGCCTTCCTCTAGAACCTGCTGTGGCTCCCAAAGAAATGAGGGTCAACCCCTGAGCCGTTATGAAAGCTTCCAGCCTCTGACCCCCACCTCCCCTCACCACCTCCTCACCACCCCCCTCACCACCTCCCCTCACCACC